CCCCGCTCCCGCCTTAGACTTCCTCGCGTGTTACTCAGGAGTCGCGCTCTCGCTTGGGACGTCCTGACAATTTATTCAGGAATCGCTCTCTCGGCGCTCTGGAGTCGCGCTCTCGCTAGAGATTCGCTTGCAATGTACTAGAGAATCGCGTTCTTGCGTTGAAATCTGCCGCAATTTACTCCAGCGCCGCGCTCTCGACATTCAGGCACCCAGGAGTCGCGCTCTCGCTCAGGACCCCCTCGCAGCTTATTTAAGAATCGAGACCTCGCTGCCCTTCGTGGCCCCGCTGCAGCCCTTCGTGGCCCCCTCGCTGCCCGTCGTGGACTCGTTGCAGTCAGTCGTAGCACCCCCCACTGCCCTTCGTGGCCCCGTTGCAGCCCCTCGTGGCCCCCTCGCGGTGTTTCGTGGCCCCGTTGCAGCCCCTCGTGGCCCCCTCGCTTTGTTTCGTGGCACCGTTGCAGCCCTGCGTGGCCCCCCCGCTGCCCGTCGCGGCCCCGTTGGAGCCCTTCGTGGCCCCCTCGCTGCCCTTCGTGGCCCCGTTGCAGCTCTTCTTGGCCTCCTCGCGTTGTTTCGTGGCCCCGTTGCAGCCCTTCGTGGCCCCCTCGCTGCCCTTCGTGGCCCCGTCGCAGCCCTTCGCAGCCCCCCGCTGCCCTTCGTGGCCCGGTTGCAGCCCTTCGTGGCCCCCTTGTTGCCCTTCGTGGCCCCGTTGCAGTCTTTCGTGGCCCCCTCGCTGCCCTTCGTGGGCCCGTTGCAGCCCTTCGTGGCCCCCTCGCTGCCCCTCGTGACCCCGTTGCACCCCTTCGTGGTCCCCTCGCTGCCCTTCGTGGCCCCATACATGTATGCCCTTCGTGCCCCCCTCTCGTTCGCGCCGGTCGTGGCCCCATATGCAGTCGTTTCGTGGCCCCGCCGTTGCCCTCTGTGGCCCCCTCGCTGCCCTTCGTGGCCCCGTTGCTGCCCTCAGTGGCCCCGTCCTTGCCCTTTGCGTCCCAATATACGTATGCCCTCCGTGGCCCCCGTTCGTTCGCGCCCGCCGTGGCCCCATATGCATGCCGTTCGTGGCCCCAGTGTCGCGTTTTGTGGCCCCCTCGCTGTCCTACGTGGCCCCGTTGCTACCCTCAGTGGCAACGTCGTTGCCCTCTGGGCCCCGCATTAACTGCCTTCCGTGGCCCCCGCTCGTTCGCGCCCGTCGTGGCCCCATGTGCATGCCCTTCGTGGCCCCGCTGTCGCCCTTCGTTGTCCCCTCCTGCCCTGCGTGGCCCCGCTGTCGCTCTCGCTGTCGCTCTCGCTTTCGCTAGTCGTCGCCGTCGCCGTCGTCGTCGTCGTCGTCGTCGTGGTCGGTCCCCTGTCCGTCCCTCTTGGGGTCGGGTTGCCGCCGATCAGCGCTGCCGCTGGCCAGGCCGACGGTCCGCGGCCGCCCCGCCGCTTGTCGGGGCCTGGTTTGCAGAGAAGAAATATATATATATATATATATATATACACCCCAAAAGAGGTACGATCGAAGACGAAGAGGGCGGGTATCGAGGGCTTCTGGGGAACACTTTGAATGACACTCGGGCATATAAGAGCGAACATGTTTACAATGATTGCTGTTGTTGCTGGTGGTGGTGTTGGTGTTGTTGATGCTATTGATGTTGTTGGTGTTGCTGTTGCTGTTGTTGCTGTTGTGGTCGTTGTCGTTGTCGTTGTCGCTGTTGTTGTACTTGTTGTTGGTGTTGTTGCTGTTGTCGTCGCCGTCCATGTTGTTGCTGTTAATGTGAATTGTGTTGGTGGTGTTGTTTTTCTTGGTGTTGCTGGTGTTGTTGTGATTGGTGTTGTTGGTGCTGTTGTTGCAGCTGTTGTTGCTGCTGTTGTTGGTGGTGTTAAGGTTGTTGTTGTTGTTGAATATTATTACTTCTAAAGAATACTTATTGTTGGGCCCCCTGGTGCACGCCCCCCTCGCCGCGCCTAGGCCGCAGCCACATTTTCATCATTTTCGTGAGGAAGTCTCAGGCAAAACGGGGGAGTCCGGATCCGGTTGTTTTGTTGACGCCCGCTTTCCCTGTCAAAAAACAATATAAAATGACATGTCTTGTTCTAACATAACCAAACTTCAAGAATCCTTTGCAAAAAATGACACGAAGTGCACACTCGCGCGCGCAAGATGAAATCCTTCCAAAACCTTAGTTTTCGTAGCGATTTTAACATAAAAACATGAAAAACCCAATGGTTTTTCAAAAAAAAAGTTTCAAAAATTCATCCCGCGCGCTCTTGCGGATTTCTTAGGAAACCCAATACTTTTTCAACATTTCTGTCAAACGGGCTCTTGCGAGCAACTTTTTCACGTGCTTCGAACTTCTGCAACAACGGTTGCGCGCCTGCCAGGGCCATCATCCCTGTCAAATAATACCATATGGGACACATTCGTTTTTTCTTCGCGCGCGCACGCCGAAATCTTCAATTGCAGGGGGAAAAGTCGTATACTAAGCTAGCTTACAGAAAATGTTACCACAACAAGTCATTGTACCCATGCGCCAGTGTAGTAGCCAAGGTCGTCCGCAGGCCACGAAGTGAGGTGTTCGAACGTCATAGGGCGGGAAGCTGGGTGTGGGTGGTGGCGAAGAGTCGTTTGGAAATGTGGTAGAGCTTGAACCGGACCCCCCACAAAGTGGGGGTATTGCCCGCCTCCTATGAAAACCCTGGCACTGGTGAGAACGGAGTGTCCCCACGTGCTAGTAATTGTTGTTGTTGTTGTTGTTGTTGATGTTCTTGTCGTTGTTGTTACTGGTGTTGGTGTTAATGGTGCTGCTGTTGTTGTTGTCGTTGTTTTTGTTCGTTGGCCTGTCATTTTTGGGTGCAATTTATTTTTTTGATGGGGCCGTTTGCACGGGAAGCGTAAGACTTCAGTTCGCCGGATTTCGGGTTTGCCGACGCTTTTTGACGGGCCCTGAATGTCGACGGTTTATCGTACGATGGTTGCAGTGGGATCTCGCGTCAACTTTTCACAGTGGGCCTCATCATTTTGCTGACGGCCCCGTCAAGCCAACTTGAGTACCCGCAACCCGAACTGCCTCCGCCGCCAGCGCGCATGTTTGTTTATTGCGAAGGCCTGACGGCCAGTGCCGCCGACCCACTGCGCTGCGGGTCTCTGGGGCTCTTGGGGCTCTCCTGGGACTGTCTCGGAGCTCCCTTGGAGGCCCGGGGAGGCCTATCGGGGGTGTCTTGCAAGCCACCGATCACCGAAGGAGGGCTCCTTGGGTTCGTCCCTCCGCTGGGGCGCGAGAGTTCGCCTCGCTGGGCCTTCTTGGCGCACTCTTAAAGCGCTCTCGGACGCTCTCGGGGTCGTCACGGGCCTTGTGGGCACTTCAGGTGACCCTCTTCTTGGGCCGTCGGCGAGTAGCTGTAGGACGCCCCGCCGCTGGCACGCACGTTTGTCGATGTGTTTGTTTGTTTGATTGTTTGTTGCTTGTTTGCTTGTGATGCTATTTTACTATCCCGCTTCGTTGCCAATGTTGCCTCCAGCTTGCTTCACGCATAGTGCACCACACCGCTTACACCAGGATGGACCCCAAATAGATATTAACCTGGGTCTATACTGTTCTGGGATTATTGACCAGGGTTCAAAATGTCTCGCCCGGAAAATTATGAACCTGGGTTTACATGTTCTGGGAGTATTGACTGCTGTTCATAATGTTCCCCCCGGAACATTATGAACACTGGTTTATAAATTTCTGGGGATATCGACCCCGAACACATTAACTTGTGGTCATAATGTTCCGGGGATATTGACTAGGGTTTACAATATCCCGGGAACGATGAACTCGGTTTTCCTTATTCCGGAATGATAATAATTATTATTTTCCCCCCAACCCCCGGTATCTTCACCAGGTTTATCATGTCGGAATATTGACCCCGGCTCGTTATCTCCAGGAGATAAGAAACCCGTATTCGCAATGCTCCCGGATTATTGACCCTGCGTTACTGATTCTGGAATGATAATGATTGATCCTGGGGTGCGCCGTTTGGGGGTACGTTCTGGCCTGAAATAAACCTTGGTTCAGTAATGACTCGGCCAGGGGGGGGGTTGAGCCCGATCCATTCACAGGACAATCATCCATAGGGCATCATCTGCAGATAACGAACCTAGGTTTTCATTCCTAGATCAACCACGGTCGACGAGGATTTCGCACCTACCAGCGCTTACACCACATAGCTTGCACAACATCGCGCACACACCCACAATGCAAGAAGTTACTGTTTGGTGTCCACGCTGGCTAACATATGTTTACTCATTGCGCCAAAGGGAAAGAGGAGGATGAGGAGGAGGAGCGCTTTGAGGAGGAGGCAGAGGTGGAGGCAGAGAGGGCAAGTTGGGGGAGAGAGGGCCAGAGGGATTTGAGGGCCGGCGCGCGGCTTACGTGGCCCTGAGGGAGGCCTGCCAGAGGTTTGTCGCTTCCCCCGCTGGGCCGCTGGAGCCGGCGCCCAGGATGCGAGGCTGGCCCCGGTGGAGGCCCCGCGGGCCAGGTCCCGCTTCTCTTGGGGCCTCGTTCTCCCTCGCGCAGCAGGACAGGCGACAGAAGGAGGACGGTGAGCCAACGAGCGGCGAAGGAAGATCCGCATCCGCGCCCTCGCGGTCTGGACTCTGGGGCGCGATCCCGCGGCTACGCAGGACAGCGAAGCCGGCCCCCGCCCACAGCCAGGACCCCCACACTCCCGACCTGGTGATCCAGGAGTTTCTGGCTTGGGGTGGGACTGTTTTTGGCGGGTCCTGGGGGCAAACATCCCACCCCCGACCCCCTGGATCACCAGGTCGGGAGTGGGGGTCCTGGCTGGGGGTTGGTGGGGGTGTGTTGTGTTGTCCTCGGATGCGCGGTCGTACTGATACGTTCCGCGTGGGGCATCCGCGAAAAAGCACGCCCCGTATCCGCGGGGTCGCAGCCCAGGGGCCCGACCTGCGAGACCGCGGGTATGGATACGCTTTTCGCCCACGAGGAGCAGCACCTGCCCTTGCTTCCGTAGCGCAGGAAGCGCACTTGTTCGTGCTCGAGGTGCCGTCACGGCTGGAGTCTGACTTCATGCTGCAGGCCACAGTGCTGGCGACGCAGATGGAGAACAGCGTCACTGGAGACCACTCTCGCTACTGACGAAGGGGGCCCCTTTCGGGTCGGACGGGAGGGAAGGGGGGGATTGGGAATGGGGGGACGACATGTGCTGCATGCAGCTGCTTTCGGCCCTGCCGCGCGCGCTTTCCTCGACACATGGTCGCCACCAGCGCCAGGAGGCGCTGGAAGAAAACCTTTTTGTAATTCCTTTTGCAATGATCTCTTCGTCCACTTGAACACTGCAGACTTGTGTTATCCCCCCTTTGTTACCTTTTTGCCCCTCATGCGGAGCGGGGGTGCGTCTACTCGAACACCTTGTCGTGGCGAGCGGGGAAACATGACGAGGCGGGGACGCAATGACGGATGGGGACAGGAATGGGAGGTCAGGATGAGGCGGAAAGGAACAGGAGGGTAAGGAGAGGGAGGAGTAGGGGAAGGAGGATATCGAGCGCAGGCACCGCATAACTTGCACCGCATATATTGCTTCACATGAGTTGCCCAACATATTTTCGCCACCTAGATTGCACCACATACATCGCACGACATAGCTTGCACAAGAGTTGGCACACATAGATCGCATCACATGGGGGTGCGTCACAGAGATTGCACTGCTGATACTGCACCACATAGATGGCATCACTCCTATGCATCCACATGGAATGCGTATCAGGTCTTGCCAGACACATTGTTTGGGGCCCACGTTGGCTAACATATGTTGAGCAATCTGCGTGGAGCGATCCATGTGTTGCAATATATTTGGTGCCGTACAGGTTGTGCCATCCATGTTGCGCAATCTATCTGAACCCGTAGATGTGCTGACATCTATGTGTTGAAAGCTTTGTTGTCCAATATGCAGTATATGTGGAACCATGCATGGGATGCAATCTATGTCGTGCCATATATGTATATATACATATATACATATATATGGTGCAACCTATGTGGTGCAACTTATGTCAGGCTGCCAGCCAGCTAGACCAATACGACGGGCCGCGACGAGGCGGCGACGCGGCGGCGACGGCGGCGACGAGGCGGCGACGGCGGCAGCATTGCAGCATGGCCGCCAGACTGCCACTAAGGCGCAGTTCCGTAGACCACATCGACGAGCCCTTAAGTGCAAGCGCTGTTTGGGGAGTGCAGAATTATTCCCCCGAGGGGTTTTCCTCGTCTCTTCGTTTCGTCGCCGTCCCCGGCATTCCCCCCGATGCCCGCTTTTATTTGTGAAAATGTATTCGGCTTCATTGTCGCCGCAATCGTCGTCGTCCTCTCTCTCTCTCTCTCTCCTCGTATCGCCGTCGTCCCTGGCGTCGCGCCGCCATTCCTTGCGGACAGTTGCTCCTTACTCGTCGTCGTTGTGGTGGTGATCATCGTCGGGCCCTTCTGCGTTTTGTGTGGTTGTCCCTGGCGTTGCGCCGCATCCTGCTCCCTTGCGGACATTCGCTTGACGTCGTCGCCAGTTCCGGGGTTGCGCCCCCCCTCCTGTTATTCTGTTCGCTCAATGCGCCGCTGGCGCGGGCGCGGTTACGTTGGGCTGGGAGATCAAAGGTTTCCCATGTTGGGGGGATTTGAAGGATTCGGAGGATTTGGCGAAAGTAGCGGGCTGATTTTGGTGGCTGGCTGGGTATTTGGGCTCCGTGTTCTGAGTCCTGGCTTTGTGGGGACATGGCGGATGGCGGAAGAGTGCCACCGATTTCGGTAGGCTGCCAGGTTCCCAGCTTTCCGGCTCCAGGTCATCGTGAACATTTTCAGCCGACTCTTGCGGGCGGACCCTGTCCCGGATTCCAAGAAGAGGGAGCACAGAGGGTAGAGGGCGTAGATAAAGTCGAACAAATATGCATGTTAGGCAGCAGGGCAAAGCGACATAGTGAGAAAAGTAGGTCTGTTGTGTATTAGAGAGTACGGAGTGACTGCTGCATAGTAGAGAGTCGAGAGCATGGACCAGAGCGAACGTCGCGATGAACAGAAAACAGAGAGCAGAGAGTACAGACCCATGACTTCGGAGGAGGGACTGAGTAGTGCAGGGCAGATGGTGTAGAGTGGAGCGTAGAGCGTAGAGTGTAATAATCAGCTGTAGATATTGGGTGACCAGTGAGTGTAGTCGTCGGTAGCGAGAAGGGAAGGGGGGCATAATGTAGACAGTGGGAGACAGAAGGCAGCTCGAGAGTAGAGAACACATGCCACATTCGCCATCATGTGCTCCCGCCCACCACCCGCTCGCTAATTTGTCATGCGGCGCGCGGTTTGTTTGTTTGGATCCCCTGTTGTGTGAATTATTGACGTTTCGCGTATCCCCGCCAGTGTAAGATGGATAGAGAGTTTAAACTCCACGTCGACTGGTCGAGTGTCAAGGATCGACACCGCAGGCTCCTGCAACGCGACGCCAGACCGCACGCCGCTCGCGGGATCGATAGCAGTGGCCGCCCACCCCCTTGGACCACAGCGGGCAAGGGGGCGGCACGTGCGGCCCCGCCGGATCAGTGGACCGGCGCATCCAGCTCAGGCTCGCCGTGGCGTGGATGGCAGTCCTGGGACGCTTGGGGGCACCAAGGTGCGTCGTGGACCGACACGGACTGGAAGGCGAAGGGCAAGCGCTACTCCCCAAGAGGAGATCACCCGTACGCCGACAAGCGTCCACGAGGTTGGGACTCCTGATCCAGATGACGGGGGCGCAACGAGGACCCGTGCGAGACCGGCCCACCCCCCCAGCTAGCGAAGGGGCGCCCCGGTATTCGCCACGGCCCACCACCTATCGTGTTGCTTGCTACGTGCAGCACGCACTACCTTTTTCCCCACCCTTCCTCTCTGCCGGGCATTCGCCGCCCCCCCCCCCAGACAGTTTCACCTGCAGCGCCCGGCCTGAGCCGCAATACCCTGTGCTACCTCCGATGGGGCGGAGGGGCACCAATACCCTTGCGGTGCGCCTTTAAACAGCCCGCGCTGGACTCGTGGACCTTGCAGCGCCTGGCCTCGGCCCAATACGTGCTACCTCCGCGGGGGCGGTGGGGCACCAATACCCTTGCGCTGCGCACATAGACAGCCCACGCTGGAGTCGTGGATCTTGCCAGGCCCTTCTATCCCTGCGGCCGATTGCCGCACGGGACTGCGGCCACTGCCTCCCTCGGTGGAGGCCACTGCTGGCACGGGCTCTGGGGTCGTCTGTGCCACCCTCCCAGGGCAGCCCACTTTGGACGGCAGAGACTGGTGGCTGAAATAACCTACCTCCTGCGCTCCACTTTTTTCACAGCGCAGTGAACGGCAGCGGTTGGTGAACGACATTATCCACCGCACCGCCCTCGCTCAGCCCCACCCCCCGTGGTCCTGAAGTTCGGTGCATGGATGCTCGGGATCGCTATCTGTGTTCAGCGGCTTTTGGCTGCGCCCCCTCCGCTCTTCTTCTCATTCACAATGTCTCTGCGGCTTTGGGCTGCGCCCCCCACCATGACCGCCGAGATTGCATCGGACGCAGAAAAACGTCCGCCCTGAGACCTTCCCAGGGCGTATCGGTCGGCCGACCCAGCTAGGGTTCTTCAGAGGTCGCCTAGGCACGTCAACGCGCAGCCAGCAATCGATACAGCCCAATAGCTCGGCAGCTGCCAGCATCCTGTGTGCCCTGGCGTCGGAGGCAGCCGGAGTCTACATGGACAGCGTGGCAAGTGTTGTGAGGAGGTGGCGGTCCTCCATTCACGTGGTGACTGGCTTCGTTGTGCCGCCCCGCATCGAGTGGTCCTGTCCCCGGATCCTGGGCTTTGTCGGCGCCCCCTCCTCCTCCTCCTCCTCCTCCTCCTCCTCCTCCTCCTCCTCCTCCTCCTCCTCCTCCTCCTCCTAGGTGGCCCAGATGCGGCGCCAAGGAGCGCGCCACCCTATCATCTCCCACCTTCCCGAAATTCCCGAAGGACATACTCCCCTCGCCCCGCGGCGGCATGTCAGGCGGCGGTCATGCGCCCTCGGCGTCCGCAGGTCTGCTTCGCGTCGCGCAGTACAACCCATCGTAGCCAACACATACTCTCGCTTACTTGATATTGTCATGGAGCTCGGCAACAAAGATATTATTGCTTTGACGGGTACGCAGTTGAAGACGAGGGGGGAGCAGTGGGAGGAGACACGGAAGATCGGAGGGTACAACGCAGTAGAATCTGGATATTCTTGGGGAGCTCTCACTTCGAAAGCATGTGGGGTCACCGTGTTGCTGAGAAGGTCCAGGTTTCCAATGTCTTCAATCGAGAGAATCATTCCTGTTCCTAAAACCCTATGGGGACGCTGTCTTGGGCTTCTCCTTCGTCGAGGCGGGCTCATGTATGGAGTTTGCGTTGTTTGCGATCCCCCACGCGAGACCACTCGAGCTGCCCGTCTAGTGTATGAACGTATTTTGGATCAGTTTAATTTTTCGCTCAGCGAGGCTATGGCCTTCTTTCGCGAGCGAGGTGCAACCCCATTGATCTTCACCGACCTGAATGGCGGCTCGCCCCACACTCAGCAATACGAAGTAGCAGACAGATATGGAAGGGGAAAAACCACGCCCAGTTCTGCTCGCCTACGCCCCTTTCTGGCAGGATGGGAGATGACAAGTGCGAACACGCACGTGGATTGTCCCCCCACTTTCACCTCCAGCACGGGGTCGGAGAGTTTCATTGATCACGTCTTCTTGCCCACGGTTTTTTGCTTGGAGTTATAGAGCGAGTGCAGGTACTTAGTTCGAGCGCTAAGAGGTTACAGTTCGCAGTGCATCGCGAACATAGGGATCATAAACCGATTGTAGTTGCTTTTCATGCTCGCTTGTTGTCGACTGTCGAACCCCGCAGACAAGCTCGCCCTAATCGTGAAGCCTTTTTATCAGTGTGTTCAGACGGGTTACAAGCGTGCAGAGGTTCTGGGGGCCATGGAGAGGCTCGCGGCCAGCAGGATGCAAGAGTTTGGCGAAGCTGGAGCTTCTGTGGATCTGGAGAGGATGAATAGCATCTTCATGGAGGTTCTCAATCAGGCCACTTTAGAGATCCTTAGCGAGTCTCCGCTGTACACTGAGAG